CTATTTCACAATTTTAACAAAGGGAATTTTAAAAAGTGACTTTGTTTCTGTCTCTATTTTATGGGTAAAGTGGATATTAAAGCTGGATAATGTAGCCCTCATCCTGAAGAAGCATGCAATCATTATACAAAAGGAAAAAAAAACCTCCCCTCAGAATCCTTTACAAGCTAAGCCTTCCATTCCAAAACGTTGGCAACCGAAGCATCAGGGGAGCAGGACGCAAAAGGACCACCCCCTGCCCCCAGGGACAAAATAGTGATTGAGCATCAATTTAACGGAATTCCTTAAAATCTGACTGCAATTCTCAATTGCATGCATAAGAAACACAAACAGTGCGTTCAACACGGTTACATATTTTTGTACTGATGTATTTCCAACTGTCCTCAAGGGTTTTCTCCCCACTCGTCCAAGGATGTTTGGGGGTTCTGAATGTCATTTTCTCTTAAGGATTTGGTCTATAAGATGAAGAACTTTCAAAGCATGACTTTTACACTTGGCCACATGGGGCAGGACGGGAAGGAGAAAACAGTTTTAAGAAGAAAAGCAATTGCCTTGGCCAGTAGTGCTCTGTTTGCTCCCACCGTTATTGAAGACACTTGTGTGTAAGTAGGGGCTCTTTCCTATGAGCTGGTGATATTAATCTTTTGCCAAGGAAACGATTGTGAAGTCACCAGGTTAGCATTATGATTTTACTGCAACATCAAGAAAAAGAGCGATGGTCTGTGAGTTGAAAACCCTATTGTAACACATGGGTATCTTTAATCATCAGCATTATATGAGCTGTCATCTGCAAAAAATTAGTAAGGTTTAGGGTTTTACCAAAAGCTGCTTAACTTAAAAAAAAAAAAAAGATTTTGTATTGGTGGATAGTTACCTTTCTTTCTGTTGATTGAGCTAGCTTGGAACAAATTAATAATGATCTGAAACAAATTTACGGGACTCTACCATAGATTCCCTGCTGGTACATTACATAGCTCTCATTGTCACAGCAACACAAAAGCCACTACAGTGTGACAAACTGATAGATGGTATTTCAAATACCACCCAGGTCAACTGTGGTGAACGCTTCCAGTGGCGCTTCTAGACAAAGCCAGGCTGGGAAGGATGGCCTCGAAATCTGCTTCTGAGAGAAAACTGGCCAGAGGAAGCCGCATGGCCCGCAGAACATTGGAAGAGGAGGCCCTTAAGATGAAGCACACTGCCATGGAGTCCATTCTGACTCCGAGGGCCTCTACCTAGAATTTCTGAGGCTATACATCTTTACAGAAGCAGATAGTTCCATCTTTCTCCTGAGAAGAGGCTGATGGGTTTGAACTGACAACCTTGTGGCGAGTGGCTCAATGATTACGTAAACACTGCCGTAAGTACTACAAATTACAACTGTGGAAAAACTGTCTCTTCAAAATAGAGTTGACCTCAGTGATGTGGATGGAGCAAAGCTTTCAGGAGGTTCATCTGCTGATGTGGCACGTCTCAAATGAGAAGAAGCACTGCAAACGTCTATCAGTAATCAGAACACAGAATGTGTAAGGCATGACTCGAGCTATCTGGACATCGTCAGAATGCAATGGAACACTGGCAGGCTGACCCTTGGCCTGAGTGAGGTGAAATGGGCAGTTATTGGCCATTTTGAATCAGGCAGTCATAAGGTCTATGAAGCCCCAATGGGTGAAATTGAAGAGGTGCGGTGTCACATTCATCTTCAAAAAGAATATTTCCAGATCTATTCTGAGATACAGGGTTGTCACTGAAACAAAAGTATCTCTAAGCCAACAAAGAAGCTAAGTTAGTTGAACTGTTCAAATTGATGCAGGGATTGTGCAGCAGCGAATGCCAAATATGAAGAAATTGAAAAATTCGACCAACTTCTGCAGTCAGAAACTGATCAAGTTTCATAATGTGAGCATGATGCATGGACAAATAGGGCGACGGGGATGAGAAAGTTGGAAACAACAAGGGATCAGTAGTTGGAAAACACGGTTTTAGTAACAGAGATGAAACAGGAGATGACATGACAGAATTTTGAAAGACCAACAACTTATTCATTGCAAATGCCTTTTTTTCAACAACATAAACAGTACCTACAAACACACATCACCAGATGGAGTACACAGGACTCAAACAGACTACATCATGGAAAAAGGCCATGGAGAAAATCGCATTACTTAGAACAGTGGTTCTTAACCTTCCTAATGCTGTGACCCTTTAATATAGTTCTTCATGTTGTGGTGACCCCCCAACTATAACATTATTTTCGTTGCTCCTTCATAACTGTAATTTTGCTACTGTTATAAATCGGGCGACCCCTGTGAAAGGGTCATTCGACCCACAGGTTGAGAACTGCTGACTTCGAACAAGGTCAGGGGCCCATAGCAAAACATGCCATCAATTGCTCCTATGCAAGTTGAAGCTGAAGATAAAGAAAAATAAGCACTAAAGCATGGCTTTCAGTGTATTCCACCTAAATCTAGAGGCTATTGTCGAAAACTGTTTTGATGCATTAAATACCAATGCAAAGACCAAATAAGTTGGAATGGCATCAAGGATCTCATTTCACCCTATTGAAGCTACTGACCAACGTTTAACTTGCTAACTCGGGGACCTGCAGTATCAAGGCTTCATAAAGTCTTCACGTGGTTCTCGGTCTCTCTTGGCCTTCACTGCTGCACTTCACATAATCCAGAGTCTTGGAAAGGTTTGAAAAGCAGAGTGCGCGCCCACGCGGACTGCTGGGTGGGTTTCCAGGTGGGATCAACTGACCTGGGAGCAGCTTGTTTCCACCCTGTGCATCCCGTATGAAAAGTCGTCTGTGAGGGCAACTGCCTCAGAACTGATCACATCGTGGAATGCAGGCCAACCTGGCGAAGAGAGGCAGAAGACAGAGGAGAGTTACACAGCCCTGGGTTAGGAGGCAATTTTAACAAAACACTAAGGAAAGACTGGAAATATTTCAGATATGACTCATGCTTAACTTTTTCAACCTGAAGAAAGGTGCAGGGGAGGGGAGTCAAACTTGAAGGATAATATATTTTGCAAAAATGCAATTATTTTTAAGAATAACCTTTTCCTCAGATACAGATTATAGTCACATTGGGGTTTTATGTTTCATGAGACATTATTAGACTATTCAGTGGTTTTCTTGAGCATCTCCAAATGTAGAAAACTCTCTCTCACCACCTTTTTCTCTGGTCTCCAGAGTCACCAGGCAGCCCTGAAGCACTCTGAGTCGTCCAGTCTGATGTTTTCCAAAAGGCAATCTATTTGGGCTTGCTGTTAAATTTTCAACAGTGCCTTTACCTTTCCAGGAAGCATGTTTTTTTTCTCAATACTTCATTTGAATGGCTAAACCCTGTACTGATGTGTGAGAGACGAATATCTGTTGTCTGTATCCTAATCTAATTTCTTTGCACCAAGGAATTTTTCTCCTATCTCCTTTATGGACAAGAGGCTTGCTCTGCTCACTGAGGAAGCTCACAGAGCAGTGTTCCTTGGGCAGCTCTGGGTAGCACTTTCTCATAAATAACATCTTGTTCCACTTTTCATTAATTCTAAAGATCTTAAAAATACATGCACGGGTTTAAGAAACTCAGTGGTAAGTGGACAATAAGACTGCACAATGTTTATGAGTACACAAAAGCAGGTTTTATGTTTAGCAATTATGATCATGGTTTTACATGTTCCCAGAAAATATGTTTGGAGTCACCGAATTGAGGCCCGCACCCCAAAAATGATGACAGATTTGTGACTGCACTGAATTATGGGTTATTTTTTCCCCTTGTCTATTTCAGAAATCAAATTTACTCCTGTAGAAATAAGGAAAGCCATGAAAAGCAAGGTACTTTGTTAACGCACCTCTTGAGAAAAAGAGTATATAAACGTCAACAATACAATGTCCCTTTGTCTATAGCAACAGTATAGCTTTCATAATCAGATGTTTAAACACTTTCTAGCTGAGTTCAAGATTGCCACACCCACCCAAACCCGTCAGGGCTCTTCAAGATTGCTACAAATCACCAGGAAAACCTTGACCTTGTAGAGTAAGATACCATTTCACAAAAACTAATTATGGTGAAAGTCAACAGTATTCTTAAGAAACCTCCTCCATACCTGCACATATATGTAGATTCAACAAGGAAGCAGATGGACTTTGGGCCGCTACTAAAATCTCACCTAAGTACAAGAACGGTTTGTTTTAATAAAATGGCATTGTATGATACTCACCTTCCTGACACCATCGTTGAAGACAAAATGTGTGCATAAGCAAATATGGTGAAGAAAGCTGATGGGGGCCAGCTATTAAAAAATACAGTGTCTGGGGTCTTAAAGACACCGAGACAGAGGACAATACTGAGGGTGAGTCCAGTCTGAACCCCCCACAGCGGGGCAAACCAAGAAAGGAACATTACAGATCAGTAATGGAAACAAAACCAAGCCAAAAAGCCCGAGGAGCCCACCCAAATAGACTTGAGGCTAGGAGGGGCAGTTTGCAGAACCCCCAGGACCATTGGGGAGATGTTATAAAGGTCAGGAAACAGACCTGGAATTATCTATGCTTTTTGGAGGTTTTGGGGGCCAGTTATTATTATTTATATATATATATATTTTTTTTTTTCTATTTCTTTTTACTCAGTTTTTATTTTCTTTTTGTACCGTCTACGTTATTGTTGGTTTGCCTACCGATACGTTATTGTTGGTTTGCCTACCGATATAAGATGGGCACGGGAACCCAGCCTGAGGAGAGAGCAATGGGACTGAAGGTTCTGGAGGGGCTTAGAGAGAAGAGGAGATGGGAGAAGGGAGTGGTGAGCAAACAACGCCATAGACAGGGGAACAACTAGGGAATTAAAATCAACAACGAGGAGGACATAAGAGACCTGGGGGTATTGGAGCAACAGCAATCTAACTGAGAGGAATTACTAAGAGGTAGAAGAATTGGTGGGAAAAGAGGAAGGTAAAAGGAAACAGAGGAAAGATCTAGGAAGCACAGCTATGGTTAGAAGTATAAATATAGGTGTGTACTTATGTAAATATATTAATTCATAAAAATAGAGGTATTGGCATAGGTACATATATTTATATGGCAATACTTTGAGGAAGTAGACAGACTTTGGGCTTCTGCTCAAGCCCTCCCTCAACCCAAGAACACTTTGTTCTAACAACCTGGCATTCTGTGATGCTCACCTTCTTGGCACAATTGCTGAAGACAAAATGGGTGCACAAGAAAATGTGGTAAAGAAAGCTGATGGTGCCTGGTTATCAAAAGATATCGTGTCTGGGGTCTTAAAGGCTTGAAGTTAAACAAGGGGCCCTTTCACAGAGAAGCAACAAGCCCACATAGAAGAAGTACACCAGTCTGTGTGATCATGAGGTGTAGACGGGATCAGGTAAAAGGCATCAGAAGACCCCAAACAAAGAAACAAAAACATATTGTTGAGAATGAGGGGGCTCGGAGAAGATACCCCAAACCCATCTATAGATAATGGGATATCCCCACAGAAGGGTTGCAAGAAAGGGAGGAGTCAGCCTGGGTGAAGTACAGCACTGATGAAACACAATATTCCTCTGGTTCCTTGAGGTTTCCACACCACCACCACCACCCCCACTATTATGACCCCAATCCTGTCTTTCACTGTGGGCTAGGCCGGAGCATGTACACAGGTACAGATAAGAGCTCAGGACACACAGAATCCAAGTGAGATAAACCCCTCAGGTACAGAAATGGGAGTAGTGATACCAGGAGGGTAGGGGGTAAGGTGGAAAGAGGAGGGGGGAAGAAACTGAGGGGGAAGGGAAACAGCCATCGGTATAAGATATGAAAATAACAATAATTTATAATTTATCAGGGGGTCATGGGGGTTGGAGGTGGGGAGAGAGGGTAAAAAGAGGAACTGATACCAAGGGCTCAAATAGAATATAAATGTTTAGAAAATAATGATGGCAACAGATGTACAAATTTGCTTGATACGACTGATGTAAGGATTGTTATAAGAGCTGTAAGAACCCCCAATAAAATGATCTTAAAAAAAAAGAACTGATTGTAGTAGTAATTATACAATTATGCTTGAACTATGTGAATTATGGAATGTTATGACATCTGTAAGCGCTCCCAATAAAATGATGAATCAATTTTTAAAAAGAAAAAAGAATCTTCCGTTGTCCCTTATTTGCAAATTCTAAAGAGAGTATTAATGTACCCTAGTGTCTATTTAGTTAGTAATGATTATGTGACACATTTTGGGTGTTCTCTGTTCAAGGACTAAAGTCCCAGTTGCTGGCAAGGAAACTGAAAGCACACTGAAAAGGAACAGAACTCGAGTCCCCAGAGGTTGCCGGAACTGTCATTTGGACATGATGTCCATCACAGAGAGCAGCTTTCTTTGAAGGTAGCCTCGGGGAAACATCACAATGATCTACGTATAACCACCTCCCAGGGGGACAGACAATGGAAAGTGGGTAAAGGGAGACATTGGAAAAAATAATAATTTATAAATTATCAAGGGTTCATGAGGGTGGAGGGCAGGGAGGGCAGGCGGAATGAGCTGATACCAAGGGCTCAAGTAGAAAGAAAATGTTTTGAAAATGATGATGGCAACATATGTACCAATGTGCTTGACACAATGCATGTATGTATGAATTGTGATGAGTTGTACGAGCCCCCAATAAAATGATTTTTTTTTAAAAATAAGTATTTAAATCTACATGGAGGTTATGTCAAAAAACAAGTTTTCCAAATTGATATTTTTGTTTAATAAAGGGGTCTATGATTGGCAGCAATACTTTTTGACTTACCCTAGTGTGTGTGTGCAGGCATGTGTTGGTGTACATGTACCCCCTCTACGCTGCCTCTGCAACTTACCATACACACTGACCTTGTTCTACGTCATCCTGGATGTGCGACTTATCTGTGTTCAGCTTTGCTTCCTGAGTAGGTGACGGAGGCAAAGGTTGGGCTCACTGACTGGGTATTTTCACTGCCCCCACGGTGTCTAGCACAGAGGCATAGTACATATGTTTATTAAACTGATGTCTAATTAACCTTAAAAAGCAAGTGGAATAGATAATTATGGTACATCATAGAGTTCCACATGAGAGAAGCAAAAGATCAGCAGTCTCTCTTTTGACAGACGACATTAAAAATGACAGCTTCTTACTACAGTATCCTCCTTGGCTCAACCACTATCATGAAACCTATGCAAGTGTGGAAGTAGGAAGGTAGGAATGGGAAGATAAACTAAGTCACCTCACTTCACCAGAACTGGGGGCCCAAGGGGGCAGGGGGCAGGGAGGAACAGAGGGCTGTATTCGTTGCCGAGGTCACACAGGTGGTAAGTGGCAGAGCGACGGATGTTTCCACTTCAATCCAGGACTCCGGTGCCCTCCACTTCACTTTCAATGACAGGCTGGGCCACCCTGGCAGGAAGGAGGGCGGAGGTCCTAAGGAACAGATGAAGTGCCATGTCTAGACAGTTCTATCGCTACACTGACGTGGCCTCTGAAACGCAAACCCAGTTCCGTGCCATCCAGTTGGCTCTGACTCATAGCAAGCCCAGTGGGCAGGACGGAACTCCCTCTTTGGATTTCTGAACTGAAAATGGTCACAGGAATTGAGAGCCTCATCTTTCTTCCTCAGAATGGCTGGGGATTGCGAAATGCTGACCTTGCGGTGAGCAAGCCAATGTGTAATCCACTGAGCCACGGAGAAGCCAAGAAAGATAGTACCTTAGACAATATTGAATTCTCTAACCCTCTAGTGATCAAATTGTTCAAAGAGAAAGTCCAAGAGTAACTATATCAAGGATGCATTCTAGTTTGGGACATTTAAAAAGTTTTTATTCTTTTACCTAAAACTACCACAACC